ACGGTAGGTGACCATTTAAATCCGCTTTTTTTTAAATTGCAAGAAACAAACTATTTCAGATGTTCTTGTTCTGCATAACATACATCAAACAGAAGTTCTCAAAAGTATTCATATATAAAGGTATTTAGAAATTAGGGGATAATGTAACATTTTAGATGAATTCATTGGCAATTAATTACATTTATCCGACTTTTGTGTTGTTTGTGGAGTTACGATCAATTGACATGGCAAACCTACGACTCCTCCTATGCAGACATCCTGCAAGTCATTTACTGACCTGTGTATTCCTTTGTAGATGGTGTGGTCGCAAACGACTGCAGTTGGATGTACCATTGAAGCATGTCAAAGCGACACACGCTTACACACTGTCTGTATATACAAACCAGGGTAAGAAGGCATATTTGCGATATCTGATAAGTAGAGAGTTGCAAACGCATTCAATGCCAAGCAATTCTCCAAATTTCTTTTTCATCACTGTAAGAAATTCGCCATAATGCTGTCTTCAAACTAAATTGTTACAGCGAATTCGATCCGCAAGACAGGCCATACGAGAAAGGCCAAAGCTGCACGAAATGCCCTAACGGATTTGCTTGTTACCGGAATCAATGCAAGAATTCGTCGACTACAGTTTCCACGACCTCTTCTGCGACAGTTACTTCGACACTTCCCACGACGTCTTCTGCGACAATTACTTTGAAACTTTAAATCTTGTCTTCTCTTATGCTAATACGTCTAAGTTTTGTCTAATTTGTGGCACTTTTGTGCTTTCTTTGCGTCATTTCTTCAACTAAACTGGTGTAATGAATTGAGAAAATGCGACTCGCCCCAGTTTCTATCAGCATGGAGGGTCAATTAGATGTCCACTGTTTCAGCAGTCGATAGAAATTGTACCCTTGATGTGGACATTGTTTATAATTGTCCGAGTGCACAAAATTAAGCTGTGTCGACTAAACGGGAATTTAGTAGTATTCGGAAACCTACAGACATAGGTAACCATTTTTTTTCGAAAGGAAAATAACTGTCTTTGCAAAATTGTAATCCGCACGATTTAATGAATTGGGGAGAAGCCATCGACGATGCTAGACACTGTACTAACCACAACCTGTCTGTTTGCAGCCCATTATATCCATGCCTTTTTAGCGTTCTTTGATCGGACACACTTTAAGCAGTTTACGTGTTTGTTAGGAAGGTGAATGCAATTGTTAAACAATCCCAAAATGCATGTCATGGACAGGTAGGATCATTCTTCAAGGCCATCAATGAGCATGTGAATAGGTTGAAGTGATTAAGGGAAATATGTGGTTTTATGTCGAGCCTGTTCTGTGGCTACTAACCAGATATGAGTAACGCCGACTCTCCGAACCTTTGCCTGCCCATCGCTGTGAAATTGACACGAGTGGACATGTGCTACCTTGATTACTCCGATTTAAGTCAATTTTTTTAAACTCATAGGAGAAGTGTTCTGCTTAACTGCCAATGGTGAGCATATAAATGGCGACACCGTTTTACGTGTTAAAAATTCAAACCACGATCAACCAGGTCACTTGCTGTTTCAGATACCCCAATATGTAAGACAGAAAACACGAGTTAGTTTCCCACAAAAAACCTGGTTTTGTGTGTTAATTTTACTCCCTTTTTTACGAGTCGATTCAAACCACTTACAGCAGCTGCCTTGTTATTTTCGCGTGTTTCTTTGGTTTGCAATAATGATTTCGTTGGAACACTATTTGAGCTTAACGCGCAGAGCCTGTGATTCTGTTATACGACTTTACAGTTAATCATTCTTTGTTCCGTTTATTGTCATAGCATTAGGGTGACAAGTATGCATGGTCAAACTCTCCGGACTGTCTTTGTAATTCCTATATTCCGATATGTTTATCCGTAATTGCGGTAGCTGCCACTATTATTCATGCTACCTATTGACTCTTACAGCTGCTCCTGCACCCGGCGGACTTTTCGGAGGTGAGGTATTTTCTGTACTGTGTTGTCAGGGTGAATTATGACCACTTTGGTAG